CATTAATACTAAAAGCCTTCTTCTGTTCACTGAACTTGGGGATAACTTGAGCTTGAGTGCTAGTTTGGGCAGTCATTTTTTGTTCTATCAAATCGAGTACTAATTTATAGTTACCTAATCTTCAATTGCCGAATATATTTTTTCCAAAGATCTGCACTCCTACCAGGTTACCCTCCTGTAGTCCTGTGGTCCTGCGGTTCTGCGGTCCTCTGGTTATATCTGGTTATCTTCTAGGGGTAAAAAAAAACTATAAACCACGAACCTTTACGACTGCTCTAAATCTTCCCTTCCCCTTTTTCAATCCACATATATCTAGTGAAATCCACACCGCTCAACAGACCACATTACCATACAATGCTCTTTTCTAGCTTCCGATAACTCTTTACAAGCCTTTTGATATGCCTTCCAATTAAGCTCATGAAGTTCACGATTTCTAATACCCTCCTCCTCAAATGATTGACCAAGATCATCTCCCGCTTTTTCCTTCTTTTCTACTGCCCTGTCGTATGCCTCCTCGGCTTTCTCATGTCGCTTACACAACTCGGCTTTACAACAGTTGTACCAGAGTCTGTTTATCTTGAGATGCTTTCCGAATTCTTTGACTAGAAGGTTTCTGACCATCTCTCTTACTATATCTGGGTCGTTGAGGGGCGATGCCCGCATTTGGATCCATTTATGGATTCCATAGATGACTATAAGATCAAGACCAAGGTCTTCGGCAAGAGAAGTGGCTGCGTGTAAGTTCATCATTGTATGTTACTTATGGTATACCCATTGTTCAATTACTTATTTTTTCTGATGGGGGCTGGACGGAGTTAGTCTTACTGGCTCTATAGACCTTCTAGGGGCTTACCTGCTAACTAACCTAGTTTGCTATCTCACTGCTTCCAACAGATTATTAGACGGAATCCTGACTTGTTCCAGATGTTCCGGATGTGGCGGATCTGGAGGGGTAAAAATAAAACTTTTTCTGGGGGGATGTCCTCTCATATTTTTTCTGAAACATCTGCCACATCTGCCACATCCGGGACAACCCTCTCATTATATCCGTTTTTGCTTCCTTTTCTATTATTTTCTAGTTATTTGGTATATATATTTGTTCCAGATGTTGTCCCAGATTGTGGCGGATATATGGGGATTCCTGAGCCCCGTAGGGGCCATATAGGTACTGCGACGGGTCGTAGACCCGAAGGTGAGTGGTGCTTGCACCTCCCACATCCAGCCCAACGACAACTACTCCAGGATATCGTGAAGTGAAATAAAAGTGATGTTGTTTTTGGACGTTAAGTAATTTTTTGTACCTTTGAAAGTAGTTTTTAAAATTATAATATTGAAACCCTTTTCTATTTATATAACGCTGGGAAGTATTAAGATGGACTGTAGTAGAACGATTGATAATAAAAACTATGTCATCTATAGTATTTACTTTGCTTTTCCGATAAAGAACTTTAATTAGGCCAAAACAGCTATCACAAATAAATTTGGTATGTCCAGGTATCATAAAATTCAACTCAATTTCTTCGTATAACCCACAATCAATTAACCATGAATAAAAAAATAAAGAATAATTATTTTTATTTTGACCAACACAATTATCACATGTGATAACCAATTTTTTTTCCCCACGATTATACTTTAGAATTGCATGCCAAACTAAACTTAATGTACAGTTTACGCCTTTCCCCTGTTTACCATCATCAGGCATTTCAGCTTTGTCAATTATATAATTGGTCTGTTCTGTATGTGGAAAGTTCTCAGTATTACAAACTCCAAATAAATGTACTTTTCGAGGACTTTTGAAGAATATGGATCCTATTTGTTGAGGTGAATAAGAAATTTGTACGTTTTGGACCCAATCATACGCAATATGAATGCTACCTTCAAAAGACTTAAATAATATTTGAGATCCAGTTGTATTTGGATTGCATTTACCATCTTCAACTGCACGTTTAATATTATTATTATAGTAATCACGTTCTTGTTTTGCACGATTTAGGTGAGTCAAATATTTTTCTGTAACTGCCAATTTCTTCTCATGCATCGGGAAATTTTTTAAGATGCAGAACTGCGGAGATCTGTAAAATTAGCAGATCTCTGCATTTTTTTTGTGAATTTATGCGGAAGTCTGCGATTTTGCAGATTTTCACTTTTTATTTTTTACAAAGTTATGCAATAATCTGCAATTTTGCATATTTCCGATTTTTTATGTATGCATT